CAAACGTGACTTATTGGAACTGTGGAGAAAAAGGGCACTTTCGGACGAACTGTACAAAGCCAAAGAAGAAACAGAATCAGAAATTTGGAGATGACAATGATTCTGTAAATTCAGCAGAGGACATTGGGGATGCTCTAATCCTTAGTGTGAACAGCCCGGTTGAATCATGGATTTTGGATTCTGGTACATCTTTCCATTCGTCTCCAAGCAAGGAGTTGTTCCAAAATTTCAAATCTGGAAATTTTGGAAAAGTATATCTTGCTGACAATAAAGCCTTAGAGATTGAAGGAAATGGCGATGTTTGCATAAAGACCACCTCGGGAAACCAGTGGACATTGGAGGATGTCAAATATATTCCTGGGATCAAGAAAAATCTGATCTCTGTTGGTCAGCTGGATAGCACGGGTATGCAGTAGAGTTTGGGAAAGGTTCGTGGAAGATCATGAAAGGTGCTATGGTAGTAACTCGTGGCACCAAATCTAGAACCTTGTACACCACTGCAGGGTGTACAAACATGGTCGTTGTTGCTAAAGGTGCTTCCGGTTCATGTCTGTGGCACAACAGACTTGGACACATAAGTACTAAAGGAATGAAGATGTTGGTTGCAAAAGGAGCAGAAGTCTGTTGATATGGGTCTTTGCGAGAGCTGTGTTATGGGCAAACAGAAAAGAGTAAGCTTCACAAAGACTCCTAGAGATCCAAAGAAAGTGCGGTTGGAAATGGTCCATACAGATGTTTGGGGACCATCTCCATTATCATCACTTGGAGGATCCAGATTCTATGTTACCTTCATTGATGATTTCAGCAGGAAGGTATGGGTTTACTTCTTGAAGCATAAGTCGGATGTGTTTGAAACTTTCAAGAAGTGGAAAGCTGAAGTTGAGAATCAGACCGGTTTGAAAGTCAAATGCCTAAGGTCAGACAATTGAGGAGAGTATGACAAATCAGAGTTCAAGGCATTCTGTGCAGCTGAGGGAATCAGATTGATGAGAACAGTTCGTGGTAAGGCAAGGCAAAATGGAATTGCTGAGAGGATGAACAGAACATTGAATGAGCGTGCAAGGAGTATGAGGATACACTGTGGGCTACCCAAAACACTTTGGGCGGATGCTGTGAGCACAGTTGCATACTTGATCAACAGGGGACCATCAGTTCTTTAGGGTTCAAGATTCCAGAGGAGGTGTGGACATGAAAAGAACTCAAGTACTCACACTTGAGGACTTTTGGCTGCACTGCTTATGTTCATGTTGATCCAGAAAAGAGAGACAAGCTTGATTTGCCAAGGCTGTGAAGTGTTACTTCATAGGCTATGGTTCTGATTTGTTTGGTTACAGGTTTTGGGATGACAAGAACAGAAAGATCTTGAGACATTGTGATGTGACATTTGATGAGTCTGTCATGTACAAGGACAAAGAGCAGAAGGTTCTAGAGATTACGAAGCAAGTGGGAGTTGAGGTTTAGTTGGATAAGAGTAACCCTAGAGATGTCGAAGCAGATACTCAACCAACTCCTACTGAAGAATCTGAAGTGGAGCAAGTTACACCTGAGCAGGTGTTTAGGAGATCATTCAGATCCATCAGGGCACCAGATAGGTATTCACCTTCATTACACTATTTATTACTGACTGATGAGGGGGAACCAGAGTCTTTTGATGAGGCCCTACAGGTGGAGGATTCGATCAAGTGGGAGCAAGCCATGGATGATGAGATGAGGTCACTTGAGAAGAACGACACATGGGTGTTGACTGAGTTACCTGCAGGGAAGAGAGCTTTGCTGAACAAGTGGGTGTTCAGAATCAAGACTTAACCAGATGGCAAAAGAAGGTTCAAGGTTCGTTTAGTGGTTAAAGGATATTCACAAAGGAAAGGTATTGATTATGCTGAAATATTCTCTCCTGTTGTGAAGTTAAACTCTATTCGAATTATGTTGAGTGTTGTTGCATCGGAGAATTTGCACCTAGAGCAAATGGATGTAAAAATAGCGTTTTTACATGGAGATCTGGACAAAAAGATCTATATGCAGCAACCGGAAGGATTTGTGGTTCCAAGCAAGGAACACATGGTGTGCAAGCTCACCAGGAGCTTGTATGGACTAAAGCAAGCACCAAGGCAGTGGTACAAGAAATTTGACTCCTTCATGACCAAGAGTGGATTTTGCAAAGCTGAAAAGGATCCTTGTTGTTACTTCAAGAAATACACTGATTCATATGTCTTTCTACTCTTGTGTGTGGATGATATGTTGATTGCAGGATCTAGTATGAGTGAGATTAACAATCTGAAGACAAGGTTGTCTGCAACATTTGAGATGAAAGATTTGGGTCCAGCGAAGCAGATTTTGGGGATGAAGATTTCTCGGGATAGGTCTAATGGCACTTTAAATCTATCTCAAGAGTTGTACATTGAGAAGGTGCTGAGTAGATTCAGGGTTAATGATGCTAAACCCAGGACTACTCCATTGGCAAATCACTTTAAATTGTCAAAGAAGCAGTCACCCAAGACAGCCGAGGAGCGTGATCACATGGCACTTGTTCCATATGCTTCAGCACTTAGTAGTTTGATTTATGATATGGTCTGCACTAGACCTGATATAGCACATGCAGTGGGAGTTGTTAGCAGGTACATGGCGAACCCTGGGAAAGAGCATTGGGAAGCTGTGAAGTGGCTTCTGAGATATCTGAGAGGTACATCCAGTACTTCACTTTGTTTTGGCAAAGGCAAGGTGACTTTACAGGGTTTTGTGGATGTTGATCTTGGTGGGGATGTTGACTCGAGCAAGAGTACATCCGGGTACATTTACACCATAGGTGGAACAACAGTGAGTTGGATGTCCAGGCTTCAGAATTGTGTTTTTCTTTCATCTACTGAAGTTGAGTATGTGGCAATAGCTGAAGCTGGGAAAGAGATGATATGGCTGGCAGATTATCTAGAGGAATTGGGCAAGAAGCAGAGCGAGAAGATTCTTTACTCAGATAGCCAGAGTGCCATACAGTTGGTAAAAAATTCAGTCTATCATTCGAAGACAAAACACATCAAAAGGCGATACCATTTCACTCGCAGGGCAGTGGAGGATGGTGATATGTGCTTGGAGAAGATAGAGGGTGCAAAGAACCCGGCAGACATGTTGACGAAATGTGCTGATGTGTGGGAAACTGGGGTTATGTAAAACCTCGGTTGGTCTTCTATAGTTGTTGCTACAGATGTTGCGGTGCGATAAAGATGTTGATGATGAAGAGATATATTTTTTTGAGAATGTATATTTTGGATGACTGAGTCAGTCTCCAAGTGGGAGAATTGTTAGGTTGTGGAGCCTGATTAATATATATAACTGTTTACGCGGTTTATTAATATAAATATACCTCATCGCCGTGGAAGTTTACTTACGGGGTGTTACCACGAAATATTGGGTTTTCTCTTTCTCTCTCTAGATCTCTCATCTCTTTCTCTTGAAAGTTCTTGTGTTCTTCGTTCATCAAGTGTGTGTCCGTGAATTCGATTCTAACAAAAACTGCATAAATCCCAACGCATATTAAAATATATATTTAAAGTTGGTCGAAATAAATTTCAACTACCGATATATTTTAGTAACATGCGTGTGATATTGCTGGTCAAAATGAATTTCTATAATACCAACATATATTAATATATTATAGCAAGTAATGTTATATTTAAGATTATTAACATCACTTATTAATGTTGCCCAAAATCACTACTCCTTACAATTAATTGTATGAACAAAGTATGGAGCCCACATGAATCATTCCAACACTCATAAAAGACATTCAGAAACTAGCTGAAGAGAATGAATTTACAATCACTCATTGCTACAGCAAAGCTAACAATAGTCTTTCATTATATTATTTTCGAACGTTTAATGATACTTGTCCATTTTATGATATTAATGTATAATTTTACATTATATTAAAAATAAAGATGTACTAAACAGGTCATAAAGCCTATTATACGTTGATTGAACTTTTTAAGTAGCTAAAAAATTATACGCCGTCAAATAAAGGAAAAAACGAAGGCTCAAAAATAATATGTTGTCAATGTAGGAAGTTAATGAACAAAAGAGTCGACGGCGTAGGTCAAGACAAGGGTAGTTTTGTAATTATATAATCTAATGCAAGCGTTAAAATGCTATGTATTACTAATAGTCTAATACCTAGAATTTATTGATATTAGGAATACACAACTTAATGCACAATAGAGTGTATAACTAACATGACATAAAAAAAAAAAGTGTATCAAACAATGTATTACTAATACACACACCTAATGCATGCATTATTTTTCTTAATACACTCTACCAAACGGCCCCTTAGATTCCAGACTTATGATTTATTAGTTGGGGTTGCCTACCCTTTATTTTGGATCAGAGCTTTAGTGACTTTGCGATTCCAGGAAGCTTGTTTTGCAATGATTTTCCCAAGTAAAGTCGGATAAATAGAACTCTTGATTTTGAACTTGGCATGAGGGAACTTAGTTTAGAACGTCAAGGTTTGAAGGTGTATTACGTAATGGAGATTTCTAAGAGGATTTACATGCTTCAGTTATGTGCAGGCCTCTAAGGCAGAGGGTGGCGACTGCTAAAACTCCATGGTTAAAGCAGGATTGGGTTACTATCCAATGGAATTCACCACGTTGTCTACATATCTATAATTTTAGATCCATGTTATTGCTTGAATCTTAAAAAGATATGTCCTTATTCAACAACCAAAATACAAGTGTTTGCCTAATGCCAAGGCAACTGCAGTTTCATGACTTGCGTCACTAAATAGGCCTATGTCTCACTGTACAGACACACAACACCTCTTATAAAATGAAGTGTCATTGGCCTCTAAAGAACAATTCACATAAACTCTATTCCCTACCATTCCAGCTTAGCGTCCTCACATCGCTCCAGAACAGGTCAATCCCACTCCCCCACCCCTGCCTCCGACACCCCAGCTTGGTGATCCTAGACTTCAGGACCATCTAAACATCTCCACCAGACGGAACAAATTTCAGCTGGCATCTCAAAACAGTTGATGGCTAAAATTGAAGGTTCAAGAATATCCGATCTCAGCATTGCAAAAAGTTTCAGTTGCAATGACTCAAAAGGCATATCGCTGTTTAACTTAGTTTCTCTATCTTTACAGCAAAGGTTTCCCTTTGTCCCCTAAACTACAATCTCTGTAACTTCTAATTTAGAGAACAAGCATAAACGGTCCCCCCGAAAAAGGAAAGCAATACTACGACACAGCTTCAGGCTCTCTAGGAAGTCTATCCTCCTCGATACGTTGCAAAAGCTCCTCGTATACCTTCAAGGAGTTAGCAGTAAACCTTTCCATGGCCTCGAATATACGTTGTAGACCAACCTGAAAGCTACTGTTTTTGCTAGTCTCACTCTGGTAAACAACATTCCTATTCAATGAAAGACTATTTTCCTCTCCAGAAACCAGAACGATTCTTTTGTCTAGTGCATGAATCCCCTTTTGTATCTTCTGGTCTTCCCTATCCAGGTTCTTCACTTGTCGCTCCATATCCTTGTTCACCATCATCTTTTGGCGTAATTCCAGCTTATCTCGCTCCCACAGCTGAAGCACATTTGTAGCAAAATCTCGCATACAATCAACCACCTCTTTTTCCGAGACCCTTTCAAATGCTTGTGACCAATGATTACAAATGACAAAAATAGGGGGAGCACCAATCCTGCCAGGAGAAAAGGGAGCTATTCCATCGTCTGTTTCTTCCGGTACATATAGAAGACACTTCATAAGCCAACTGTTCAATGCCCTCACATAGCCCTTCTGTGCAGTCACCCAACAAGAGAAACTCAAAGTCCAGTTCAAAAGCTCATGCTCAAGTTGCAGAGTAGCTTCAAGACGAGCATCACTGAAGTGTTTGTGAGATGCAATTGCATCTAACCGTTTTGCTTCTCCAATGGCTACGGATTGGAAGCGATGGCACTCAAGCATGGATCTCCACATTCTACATAACCTACATACAAGAACCATACAAGAGACACTTGAGAGTTGGAAATAATAGACAAATGTATCACCATTCACCAGGGAAGAAACAAAAAGTTTGGCAACAAACTTGGAAGTGATTAGACTAATACTAGAACAAGAAATATATCAACTGCTACAGCATTTATGCATTCGTCTGTCCTGGAAATGGAATCAATTTATTACCGACAGCATAAATGGCCATCATGAATCACGTCTGGATGTGCACAACACATGCTCTTACTTTCAAATTCAGACCAGCAAATCACTGGCTTGTAAAAATCACATTATGATCTTTCATGACATGTTCAGCGACAGAAGATGGAAATCAAAATTTTCCATAAAGCCTAAAACTGCAGTTCGATTTAATGGTAGTCTTACATCCTAATAAACAATAAAATTTACTTGGAAAATTGAACTCATTCTCAAGTATAACTGAAACCTAAGAATAGCAAAACCGGGCAGAAAGTTATTCACAATCACAGCAAGAATTTTATCTGCGAAAAGCTATTTGTTGTCCATCCAATAAGGTCCAAAAAGAAATGCAGATACATACCCCTGAATAAGTTCGTTCAGTTGTGGCCACAACTCTTCATCCCTCAATTTGTTTATCTTCTCAGAAACCTTATCAACTACCTGAATTGCAATTCTAATCTTTGAGGAGAGACTTATAACCAATTTTCTGGTCATGTCAATCTTGTCAGAATCAGCCCCCTTTTCAATTAATTGCTTCAGCTTTTGACTTTTCCTTTCATGAAGCACCCTTATCTTCTCCTCCGCCTGCAAATCACAACCGCAACAACATAATAACCCAGCAAGGGGAACAAATAGAGTATCATGAAAATGTATGGTTCATAAAACTGCAATCGCATAACAAGAAGCAAAGGAAATACATCACTCGCATGCAAATTGCAGTGTCATGAAAGACACCTTTCTTAGGACAAATGCAAGAAACACGTGCCACAAAAGAAGATTGCTGATCATGTACGCAAAATTTCCAGAAGCAGTGTCAATCTTTATGGAAGGTAAGTTAAAAATTCAACTATCGTGCTTAGGAGAGGTTCGAACCCCCAACCTAGAACACCAAAAAGCGGTGAACCAACAAGCCATTAGATTATCTTTGTCGAATAGTGTCATTTACTATATATATATATATATATATATATATATATCGTAAAATTTTCCAACGAAACGATGTCGTTTGATACCCTTAGCTCGGTCCGCCCCTGGCTAATGAACCCCAATAGTAATTCACAAGCCATACATCCATTAAATTGATATGAATGCATTTAAGTGAAGCAACGTATTTACTCGACACAAGTGAAGCAACATTATAAGATCAAAAGTACACGTGTGCCACAAAAGAAGATTGTTGACCATGTACGCAAAATTTTCAGTAAGTAGTGTCAATATTTATAGAAGGAAAGTTAAAAATTCAACTATCATGCTTAGGAGAGGTTCGAACCCCCAACCTTGAACACCAAAAAGCGGTGAACCAACAAGCCATTAGAATATTTTAGTCGAGTAGTGTCCTTTTATTATAGATATATATCTTTATACATAATATTAATATATATATTTGGTAAAATTTTCCAACGAAACGATGTTGTTTGACACCCTTCGCTAAACGTGGGTCCACACCTGGCTGATCAACCACAATAGTAATTCACAAGACATACATCCATTAAGCTGATATGAATGCATTTAAGTGAAGCAATGTATCTACTGGACATAAGTGAAGCAACATTACAAGATCAAAAGTACACATTTGCAGCATTAGAATTCTCTATTAGCGCACAGAAATATGGATCATCTATAAAAGTTCTAAAACTTCCAAGCACCAACAACTCCATTTTCATTACAACTTACTGGACATGTGAAAAAAGCAGATTTAAGAAACACAGTCATTCTACAAAGAAACAATCTAAATTCCTCAGATCATTTACATATCGAGCAGACAAACAAGATTAGTGACTGCCATCCTCCAAAATTGAAAGACTCGTTCAAAGATCATTTACATATCGAGCAGACAAACAAGATTAGTGACTGCCATCCTCCAAAATTGAAAGACTCGTTCAAAGAAGGGTGAATCAGTAGATCGAACAATACCTTGACCTCCTCAGACAGTTTCTTCTCCCAGAGGTACAGCTTCTGCAATGTGGAAGAAATGTTTCTAGCTCTTGAACTAATATCTCCTTCTACATCTAAAATGGCATGATCAGCAATCTCAATCGCATCGTTCTTTAAAGTAGACGGTAGCGAGAGTACAGCCGAGGAAGGGGTAATCGCGTGCAACATCTTGGAAGAAACTATCCCTGAAAATGACCATGAAATGGAAAGTCAAAAGATCAACAAATCAATTGTAATACTTGCACTAATCAACAAAAACTCAGTGGCAGCTAATTGTCAAAGCTCACAAGCATAAAGACAAAATCTTTCAAAGTAAAAAGACATCAAAATTCAAACTTGGCCACAACGACATACCTTGATATGTCGCGTGCTTACGATTGTGGGGAAGTTTTCCAACTTCAAGCATCTTAGCAAGCTCATTCCCTGATTCAGAAGCTCTCTCAAATTGAACTTGAATCTCCTTCACCACATCAGAATCACTATTGAAACTACGACCCTTGGAACCAGCTACATTTCCCCGATTCGCATCATCAACCACTTTCTTATCCACGACGTGTACCTCATACTCAATCGGGTCATCCTCCACAGATGAACTTGTTCTTGAGTGGTGGTGTATGGACTCTGAATCAGCTGCCTTCTCATTCTCCTCAACTGCCTTTGAATAACTTCCACTTGCAGTTGCAGCCTCATCTACAAACCTTTGATCCTCATGAACTTCCTTAACAGCCTCATGTTCAAAATCCACATCTTCCAAATCAGGTATACCCTCCTCTTCTCTCACCTCTCTCGAGTCTCTGCTTGGTGGGTACACTGGATAACTCTCAAGCGTCTTAAAAAGATTCAAAAATTCCCAAGGCGAACTCCTCGGAGGAGACGGCGGAGGGGGAGGCGGTTTTGAACTTGAAGGAGCCAATGACATCCCGGCCACCGCCGCTTCCGGCGTTGTGGATGAGGGATAAAACCCCCCTCCATAATTGGCATAATCCGGATAGTTAGTAGCATAAGGATAAGGGTAGTAAGAAGAAGAAGAAAAGGATTCACTCATCTGAACAGTCACCGGCCGTTGTTCATAGGTTACAGACGGCGTCGTTTGATTCCTCATGAAATTCATATGCATAAACCCACCCCCATTTCCCCCAACTGGATAAGAAGCACCAAAACCAAGCATTTCATGATCCCCATAACTAAACTGATGAAACGGTACGGAAGTACCATCTAAATGATGATGATGTAATGAATCAGTCCCAGACCCTTCATCAGAATCAGAATCAGAATGAAAATGAAGATGTGAACCAGAACTAGAATGAGAATCCACAGGAGGAGGAGCAGAAGGAGGAGGAATCATTTTCTTGGGAGGTTCAGGGGGTGGTGGGTCACCTTTAACAAAAACAGGGGAATGAGAAATTTCAACATTTTCTTTGAAAAAATGCTGAACAGAGATTCCAACAGTTTTAAGTGAGTGAAGATAAGCAAGATGTGCTTCAGCAAGAGCATAACGATAGTGAATAGCTTCATCCAAGAATGAGCAACGTTCACGGCAGAGAGCAACCGCCGGCAAATCATCAATCTTGGAACTGGTGCACCCCATTATTAATTTAAAAAAATAAACAAGATGGAGAATGATTGTTGGTTAATAAAAAAATGAAAGTGGGGTTTGTGAGAATTTGAGGTTTGAGGAACAAATGGGGAAGAAGAAGAAGAAACAGAGACAATAAAAGATGGAATCTTTGACAGCTCGGAGATTTGTCGTGTGTTTGTAAAATAGGAGAGTAAAAAAGGGGGGGCGCACCGGCAAAACAGAGTGGTATATTGCCAAAGAGAAAAAGCACACTGGATAGTAGGGAGAAAGGAAAGTAAAAAGTTACTACAAAATTGTTTGCTATTGCTATTGTTATTCCTATTGCTACTTGTAAATACAATTCCCTTTATTCCTGGGTTTTTTATTTGGTGTAACGCTTTAGACATGATTTTTTGATACTCAAGATTAAAATCTTTAGATCATACATGATACATTTCATTCAGGGTAATGCTCTGGACGGAATTTTTTCATGCGAAAGATTGAAAATTTTAGCTCGTGCACGATATGGTTCATTCAAGTTAATGCTCTGGACAGGGTTTTTTCATACTGAAGATTGACATTGTTAGATCGTGCACGATAGGGTTCATTCATGGTAACACTTTGAATAGAAATTTCCATACTGAAGATTGAAACTTTTAGACTGGGCGCGATGGGATTCCTTCAGGGTAATACTTTGAACGAGATTTTTCCATACTAGAGATTCGAATTTTAAGATCGCGCGAGATAGGGTTCATTAAGGGGTAATGCTATGGACGGGATTTTTTCATGCTGAAGATTAATATTTTTCGATCGCGTGTGATAGGGTTCATTCAGGGTAAACGCTATGTACAGGATTTTTTCATACAGATGATTAAATTTTTTTTGATCACGCACGATAGGATTCATTCGGGTAACACTCTCGACAAGATTTTTTCATACTAAAGATTTAAATTTTTAGATTGTGTGCTATAGGGTTTATTCAGGGATAACGCTATGGACGAGATTTTTCATACGGATGATTAATAATTTTTGGTCGCGCATGATAGGATTCATTTAAGGATGACACTCTGGACGAGATTTTTTCATACTAAAAATTTAAAACTTTCAGATCACGCACAATAGGGTTCTTTCAGGGTAACGCTCTGGACGGGATTTTTTCATACTGAATATTGAATTTTTCCGATCGCTCACAATAGGATTTATTCAGGGGTAACGCTCTGGACAGGATTTTTCATCTGAAGCTTAAAATATTCAGATTGCGCACAATAGGGTTCATTTAGGAGTAACACTCTGGACGAGATTTTTTCACACTGAATATTTAAATTTTTAGATCGCGCACAATAGAATTTATTAAGGGGTAACACTCTAGAAAAAAAATTCATACTGAAGATTGAAATATAAGACCTCTGATTAAGGATGAAGCAATCTTACAAATGAAAATATATTTTTTCTTACTTATTTATTTTAATTTAATTAAAAATGTTTTTTTTTTATTTTTACAATATTACGTCACCTATGGTCACTTCGAAATGTTTAGAGCCCGTTGGATTGACTTTAAAAAAATAATTTTTAAGTCAAAAATAAAAAGTCAAAATGAAATAACTTTCAAGTCCTAAAATAAAAAGTAGTGAAAGATTTACTTTTGTTATTTAATATTTATTTTCAAGTAATTTTATCAAACGCAATCTAATTTATTTTAAGTCACTTTTTGACTTATTTTAAGTTATTTTTATTTTAGTCAAATATTTCTAAAAGTAAAAATTAACTTAAAAATATGTTTGACCAATTTTTTAATCAATCTAAATATCATCTGTCTTTTAAGGTAATATTCGATGATTCACACTAACTTTCAAGTGTCCTCTGTGATTCTAGTTCTATTAGGAAAATAATGTGTTTATTAAAAAATATTGCTATATGTTTATTAGAAAAACGAATATTTATTATTAAAATATTAACGAGAAGAGCATTTTTGGATTAAAATATTGACTGTAGGAATATTATGAAATGAACTATTAACGAAAGACATACTTATCTAACATCATATAATATTAGGATATCTTTACCTTTTTTGTAAAATAAATTTATAGCTGGAGATATTTTTGAAGATTATTTTAAACACGATTTTTATACAAAATTTTTTTTATTCAACTGAATACATTCACGCAACAAGAAGTACATGTTATATGTATTTTTTAAAATTAAAAGAAAAAACTAATGTTATGTTTGATGCAAAAATAAGCCCTACCTCTTAATGAGACACTATAAATTAGTCAAATTTTAATATAAATATCTATTTTTTTAAAAAAAAAGAAAAGGAAAGATAGAGGGTACTAAAAAGGAGTGTTTTAGTGATAAATAGAGTTAATTGCCTTTCGTGGAATAGGTGAAAGAAGCCAAAAGAGAGAGGGTCTCCCTTTTTACTTTACCAGATAGGACTACTCTATCTAGTTTTGCTCATAACTCATTGCATGCACTTTTCATTTATTATTATTTTCCCCTTTTTTGTGCCTCAACTTCAAATAAATATAGGAAAAGGGTCTGATATACTCCTCAACTTTGTTATTTGGAGCTGATATACCCCTTGTTATAAAATTGGCTCATATATATCCCTACTTATAAACAAATGGCTCACATATACCCTTTTTCTCTAACGGAAATGAAAAAAAAAGATAATTTTAATCTAACTTTTTATTATTTTTTCTACAATATATATCCCATATGAGTAAATTTAATCCTCGTCAAACATATTTTTTTGATTTTTTTTTGTTTCAATGACTAATTTAGAATTATTATTTTGATAATCAAATTTATTTATGTTTCACTAATATTCTTGTAAAACTTATTATAGATGACCAAATTTTTTTCTTCGAGTACAAAAATCAAATTACAATATAGACAAAAAAAATAGTTTAAATTTTGTTTCTTTAAAAAAGGAATGAAAGATAAAAATAAAATAAGAATAAGAAACTCAAATAATTATAATAAAAGAAGTCAAAAAATAATTTATGTATAAAAAAAATTAAAATATACCTTGAACTTTGATTGAAGAATCATATATACCCCTAAATAATTTTTTAAAAAAATTAAAAGTAATAAATATAAATTTAAAACTAATTTTTTTACTTCCTTTAAATGAAGGGTATATGCGAGCCATTTTGTAACGGTAGGGGTATATGTGAGTCGTTTGTATAACAGTAAGGGCATATATGAGTCACTTTCATAACGAGAGGTATATCAGCTCCAAATGACAAAGTTGAGGGGTATATCAGACCCTTTTCCCAATAAATATTTGTAATAAAATACTCTCTATTTTTTTTAAAAAAAAAGAACCATTTTCCTTTTTTTATAAAAATCTATTTTGAAAAAATGAGTCTTTTTCCTTTCTATGATAACGTTTTAATTTCAATTTTCCATGTAATGTATTTAATTTATAAGATTAAAAAAATAATTTTATACATTTAACATAATTTTAACTTAATATTACAAAATAAAATAATTATTTTAAAATTTTATTTTAAATTAAATTAAATCATTCTTTTTTAACGGAGAGAAAGTACTTGACAATTTGTTTGAAGTGTGAGCTTTAGCTTTTAAGGGCTGTGATTTGCAGAATAGAACGTGGACTCAACTGGACTAACTTTTCAAAACACGTATCTATGCTACTGAGTAAAAAATGCAACGGATATTCCAACATTTTTTTTTTCATGAACCATATTTAGTGAGCGTAAGGAATGAAAATGGAGCGGGGCAAGGTTGAGTTTAACTCGTAAAAAGTTTAATTGGTCCAATTCCGTTTTACATAATAAATTATTTTTATTTTCAATTCGTCTCACTCTGCCTCCATATAAATCAGAATTATATAATTTTTTTGATATTTTTTTTCTAGTTAAGTTTGATATCAATAATAAAAATTTATTTTTTATTAAGTTATATTTATTTAATACATAATGAATTAAAAAAAATATTTTAGTGGTCAATTGGAAAGCATATAAGAAATTGTATTTGTTTTGATTGAATCGTTTTCATTTACTGTCTTTAATATTTTAGTAACTTTAAAAAAACTATTTTAATAGATAATGTTCTATCACACTAAAAGCATATACATAGTTAAAATTAAGTTTGAATTTGTATAAAATTACATAAACTTGCGACCTACCCTGCCACACATTAGTTTAAAAAGAGAAAAAACAGTACAACCTATCTATTGTCATGCATCCCTCACCTCACCTCCCCGCAGAACCTTAAAGTCGTCTCGATTCCGTTGTCAACCCTATTATCATCCCTAAATTCGCGCTATACAGTTCTCATTAGAGATTGAATGTTCACTGCATCTCATTTAGCGAAAAATTATAATATTTATATATGATTAAAAATATTATATATTTACATAGTAGGTGACGAACACTCCTCAATTCTCACTAGTTCGTACATTTAGTAATTCAATTTGTGATTATCTTAGTGAAAATTCTAATAATATCATTAGTTCTCTTTATTCTCCTTCCCCTTTTCTTTTTTCTCATGTAACAAATTAAAAATGTTATTATCATTTTTATTTATTTTTTAAAAAAAAATTCTTCCTCCTTAGGATTGACATTAGTCAATAATGAAGTGTGTGAAATCACATAATATTTGGGAATATAGAAATCATATTATTATTAATTAGAATCCTAATAATGATTGATATTCCAAGTCCATCAAGATTATACTTTGACTCGTCTGAAATCAGAATGTTGAATTTATGTATTCTACCACTGAATATATTTAGAACAATTAGCAATTTTTTGTTGACCAACAGTTTTACTCCTCGTAGACTAGTGTTGCAATATGATATAATTTTTATTAAAATAAATACATTTAAGGATATAAATTAAAAATTATTTTTGCTATTATTTTTGTATTAGTTCCTACATAATACAAAGAAGTTAAAAATCTCATTAAATGTAGAATATATATATATATATATATATATATATATATATATATATATATATATATAAAACCTCAATATTATTTTCTTAAATTTTGAATAATTAACTTATTTTTGAACTATGAAAAAAATCTCAATAGTTCACTTAATACGAACGAGAGAGTAACACTTAATAGTCAAAACTGTAACGCTTATTTAATTACCTTATTCGAAAAACTTATTATTCGAGATCTATAATCAAAAGAAATTATTATATTTTACATACACTGATAGTGTAAATAATTTATATTACTGGTGAATCTATTTTAATATATGATAGCAAGTTATAATTTATCATTTTTTTCGTATAATTAAGAATGAATATTTTTTGCAAGTTTCATATCTTATTACCCAGTGT